GAGGAGAGGTAGTTTAAAAATAGCCTATTTTGCATGATAAACAAGAAGTGGTATTATCACAATTTTCACAACTCTTATCACAAGGTATGCATCCTAACCCTGGAGAGTAAAAGTGATTTTCTAAGCATTCACAAGTTCCTCTTTATGGAACAAAAGTATAAATACTTAAGTCGCATGTTAAGCACTAATTAAATGCAGCTCCAAAACAAGTTTAACAAGAATTATGGCATGCCTAGCAGGTATTTGTACTAGTATTTCCAAAATAACCAGTGGGACAAACTTTTACACATACACTCAAAGGAATTGGTTAGGTTAAAAAATATCCTGGATAGCATTAAATACAATTTTTATTGGCTTGGCAAATAACACAAGACACAGGACATTAATCCATCTATGCCCAGCTTATAATAAAGCTGTTTATAATAAAGTTATAAATTAAATTTTTTACAGCTATAATATATAATAAAATGATAAGATATTATTCGAAACTGGTTCAGTATGCTTAACGCATTTTATTTAACGTTTTTAAAAATAATTTAGGCATTTTATGTAAACTAAAAATTTAATTATTAACAAGGAATAGATTGATAGATAAAATATAGTTTAAAAAGAAATATTGAAATATTATTAAATAAAACTTAATTACTTTTAAAATTAATTGAATTTATTTTATGTAAAATTTATAAATAAATTTTGTATAAAATTTTTAAATTATTTTAAACTCTTTATTTTCCTTTTTGTCAATAATAATTATTTATTTTAGATTCTAAAAAATAAATATACCTTATTAAAAATTAAATTACAGTTTATTTCATTTTCTATTTTTTAAACTAAAAATTATTTATTTTTAAAATTTGTAAAAATTACTTTATAAAATCATGCTTTAAATAACTTAAATTTAATGTTTTTTTTTGTTGAAATTTTTAGAAATAATTTTTAAATTAGTGAAAAAAAGTGCAAAACATTTTAAATTTAAAAAAAAAAAAATATTAATTTCAATCAAAAAAAAGAGAAACTAAAGTTTTTTAAGCTTTTGACTTTAAATTTGGTTGGAAATTTTTTAGTAACATTTGGATATTAACTATTTTTTATTTCTATTAATTCTGCAAAAAAGTTATTTTCATTTTTAAAATTTAAAATATTTTAAATGAAAGAGATAATTAAGATTTAGTTTCAAAAGAAAGAAATTTGAATTTATCATTTATAATTTGATAGGGAGTGTGCAAAATTATTTTTTTAGTTCATTTTAATTTAAACTGAAAAAAATTTATTCATTTGTACAATTAAAAAAATCTGTGACTTAAATTATAAATATGAGTATGAAATTTAATCAAAAATGTATAAATATATTATTATTTATGTTATAAAAAATAAAAATTACATTAACATAACTTAAATTTTATCTGTTATTTAAGTTTTTGCTTCAATATAGTAGAATTATAATAATAAAGTTTATTTTTATCCCAGTAAATAAAAAATTATTTAAATATTAAAAAATTTTTATTATTGCTAACAACAGTATTTTTATTTTTTGAATGTTAGTCTTCAAAAACTTTATTAAAAATCATAAAAAATATTTTTTGATTTTCGAAGTACCTAATTGACTAATATCAAATTTATTTGCAGTTTTTCAGAGTAGTAAGAATTAATGGAAGAAAAAATTTAGATAAATGAAGAAAAAAGAAAAAATTTCATTCTTTAAAGTAAAAATTTATTTAGTTTTCCTCATTGGCCATATTATTGAGTGATTTTAAATATTTACTTAACATATATTAAAATAAAAATTTTATAATATAGAATTTTTTATTGAATTTTTAAATTAAAAAAAAAAAATTATTTGCTTCCAAATCCTAAATTTCGATTGAATAGCTACATGATTTTCTCACAGTTTTCAAAGCAAAGCGAAATAGAATTCTATTTTTTAATTTAAGTAAGATATTAAATTAGAATGAATTGTATAAAAACTTCAAAAATTCACAACAAAAAAGCTAAATTTGCAGATATAAAGCAAATTATCTTCAATATTTAATATTAAAATAAATAATTGTATTAATTAATTTTAAATTTATTATCAATTTTTT